GCAGACGCTCGAACGCTGAAGACATCAGCGGCAAAGGATACGTATTCTTCACCGTGATGCTGTTCAGCCCTCGATAGTCAATGCAGGGTCTAAGAGACCCATCCTTCTTTTTCACGAAAAAGAACCCCGCCCCCGCCGGTGAAGAAGAGGGCCGTATGATCTTGGCCGCTAGAGAATCAGAAATATATTTCTCCATGGCCTCCCTCTCAGGAATAGAAAGAGAGTATAACTTGCCTTTGGGCGGAGACGTACCTGGCAATAAATCTATAGCACAGTCATAGGGACGGTGAGGAGGCAGAGAAGCAGCTCGAGACTTACTGAACACTCTCTTCAGGTCGAGGTACTCACTGGGCACGTTTGACAGGTCCATGCGCTCCTCCTGAAACACAGAACAAGAAACAGCAGAACGAGCAGATGAAAGACAAGACTCATGACAGTTCTCACTCCACGAAAATATAGTATTAAGACCCCAGTTAATATGAGGCTTATGAAGAATTAACCAAGGATGACCTAAAACCACCGGTGTGTTGGAACAGTCTGTTAAAAAAAATGAAATGTTTTCAACATGATTTCCAGACGTGATCAGTTTTATGGGTTTAGTGGAGTGAGTGATAGTGGGAAGGGAAAGTCCGCTGAGTGCGCGTACTGCAATGGGTTGTGCCAGAGCTATAACCGGAAGTTTAAAACTGAAAGCAAAACTGGAGTCTATGAAATTTCCCTCCGCCCCGGAATCGACAAGGGCGTGGGTGTTCTGACTTCCGGAACCCCATGTTATGGTGACAGGTAGTAATGTGGCCGCCGCAGAGGATTTGTCCAAACTGATTTCACCCATCAGTAACCTCTTACCTACTGATGGGTGTTGTCTTTTACGGGACAGGAAGCCACCCGATGCCCCGCCCCCCCGCAGTAAAGGCAGAGTCCCTCAGTTCTCCGACGACGCTTCTCCTGCAAGGATAAGCGGGATCTGCCCAGCTGCATGGGCTCCGGGTCAGCGCTACTCATCTCCGGCGCCACCGCCGAGACCGGAAGCTCAGGAACAGGATCCGGAAATCTGTCATGCCTCAAGCGACTCTCACGGCGGAGCAGTCTGGAATCCACCCGGATAGCCAGATCCACTAATTCGTCCAGCGTCTTAGGCAGATCTAAAGAGTAGATCTCATCCTGGAGCCGATCCGAAAACCCATGTAGAAACATGTCCCATTGAGCCTCCGCGTTCCAACCGCTTTCAGCAGCCAACGTGCGGAACTCGATTGAATAGTCCGCCACGCTCCGATTCCCCTGGCGGAGCTCAGCAAGGACTCGGGCGGCCTCTCTCCCTGAGGCGGCCCTATCAAAGACCTTCTTGAGTTCTTTGGAGAAAAGATCGAAGGATGAACAACACGGAAGCTTTTTCTCCCAAGCTGTGGTACCCCATTGGGCTGCTCTTCCAGACAAGAGGGTGATTACGAACGCCACCTTGGACTGCTCAGATGAAAACAAGGATGGCTGCAGGGTGATGTACAGGGAGCATTTGGCCAGGAAGGACCGACACAAGTGCGGCTCTCCAGCATAACAGGTCGGAGGAGGAAGGCGAGGCTCAGCAGCGCGGCTAGCGTTAGCAATAACTGGCGCAGGTACCACCTCCGGGGCTGGTGCAGGAGCCGCTTGAGCTGCTCCAGAACCCAGCTGTTGAACCTGCGTCGTGAGCAGTGAAACCTGCTCAACCAGAGCCTGGATAGCCTGTGCGGTGGTGGCCAACGCTTCATCTTGGCGATCGATCCGGGCATTGCTGTTTGTGAGGAATTCTGAAATCTGTGATGCACTCGCTGGATCCATGGTGAAGGTCAGTTCGTTCTGTCACGTATAATGAAAGTTCAGAGGGATCCAAGTGCGAGTTAACATAAATAATATTTATTGACAAAGTCAAACAAAAATCAAGTAAGGAATGGTGCTAGTGCTAGGAGGGATCGGGCAGGAATCAGACGGGAAAACAGGGTCCAGAAAATAGTCCTCGGATCCTACGCACACAGACAGAATAGCACACCATAAGCACACATAACGAACTGACAAAGACACACAGAAAACGTGGCTCATATATAGACCTGAATATGAGCCTCAGCTGGCGAGCTCATCAGGCCAGCTGAGTGCCGTCATCACACGTGATCAAAACAAATACACGAGGAGAACAAAAACAAACCAACGTGATCAAACAGACACTCCGGAAAAGCGCACAAACCTGCAACCGTGACAAATATATCACAGCATCTGATAAACACAAATGAGTTTGACGTTACATTGTCACAATGCACAACTAATTGTTTATGAAGGCCAAAAATTGCAAAATTAATGGTATGTGATACCATTACAGGAAAAGTGAAGTCATGGGGTCACTTTTATATTTTATGTATAAGCCCAAGTAATAGGGTGATAAAAAAAACACCTATTAAGGTATCAGAAACTAAACAGAGCTGCTCATGCATGTTCTGTTAAACTAAAAATACAAAAAAGGAAACATTATTGGTGAAAAAACTATATTTTGAAAGTTAAAATGTATAGACATTTTAAGAAAGCCCTGACAGTTTATGCTGTAAGAAATGCTGGATTCAACACAATTCCTTTATGTTATCCCAACACAAATTGATAAAGTTAACTTAATGGTTTTTACTAATTTAAGTAGATTGAACCTGAGGACAATGCCAAATTTTTGAAATAGTCAACTAATCACTTTTAACTGTGTTTGCCATCCTAACATGTTAATTTTTACATTTAAATTATATTTTAAATATTTTATCCTTTACCTTTTGGGAAAAGCCTGTGTCAAAAAAAGCAAAAAAAAACTTGCTGGTTGAATAAAAGAGAAAAGTAACTTTAAGCGAGAATTTACCAGGCGTGTGAATACTTTTGGACTTGACTGGATATATACGCTAGATATATAGAATTATTAGCCCCCCTGAGTTATTAGCACCCCTCATATATATATATATATATATATATATATATATATATATATATATATATATATATATTCATACATATATACAGATTATTAATATCTAAATGCACACAGTTTAAGTCAGAATTATTAGCCCTGCTTTAATTTTTTTTTTCTTTTAAATATTTCCCAAATGATATGTAACAAAGCAAAGACATTTTCACTGTATTTCAGGTAATATTTTTTTCCTCTGGATAAAGACTTATTTGCCCTATTTTTAAGCTAGAATAAAATTTGTTTAAAAATTTTTAAAAGCCATTTTAGGGACAACATTTTTAGCCTTCTTAAGCAAAAATTCTTTTCAATAGTCAACAGAACAAACCATCTTTATACAATGACTTTGCCTAATTACCCTAATCTGCCTAGTTAACCTAATTAACTTAGTTAAGCCTTTAAATGTCACTTTTAGCTGAATACTAGTGTTTTAAAAATATGAAGTATAATATTATTTACTGTCATCATAGCAAAAATCTAATTAATCAGTTATAAGAAATGAATTATTAAAACTATCATGTTTAGAAATGTGTTGAAAACATCTTCTTTTCGTTAAACAGAAATTTGGAAAAAAAAATAAACAAGATGGCTTATAATTCTGACTTCAACTGTATAAACATACTGTACATACATACATACATACATACACAAACACTTTTAAACTGCAATAATAGTTTGCAAAATTACTCTTTTACTATGTTTGATTAAATAAAGGCTACTTCTTTCAAAGCATTAAATCTTTAAATGGTAGAAACTCCATTAAATCTTACCAACCCTCCGAAAAATAGTTTCTTTACAGTAGGCAAAATTACTACAGATTCTGCTTGTGATTATCCCAAAATGCAATATGCATTTGCAATTATGCTATAGCTTGAATTGGACATGAATTTACATTAGACTGAAAAAGTAAACACCGCAAGGCGCTTTCGCCTCCTCATTTCTAAAGACCACGGGGGTGAGCATATGTCTGACTATTACCAGCCTCCGGCAAATCATTGATGCTGGTTTGATTGGATGTGGTTTTGATAACTGGCTAATTGCTGAATTCTCTTCGGATCAGGGTTTGCACTAGTGTCGTTCGAGCTCAATTAATGCCGTCTTTTATCTTATGTTAATTCTGTGGTTTCCCGTTTTATACCCATCATCTCACTGAGATTTAATTGGACGCCTCAGTCTTGCACCACATTACAGTGCAAGATGACCCATCCTCACGTAATGATTAAATGTATAGTGTAAACGTGCAGATGACAAAATATAAAAGTGGCGAAAGTGGAGAGAAGGAAAGAACCTGTTTCACATAAGCCGTTAAAAGGTTTGAGAGGTTATGTAACCCTATTAGTTTAACACATAGACTTACCTCTTATTAAAATCCAAAGTTGTGCTTTTAAAGTGGTGCTTTTATTCTCAGTTTTTCCCCTTTTAATCCCAAAACCCATCCAATGGGGCTGTTTAATCTTGAAGCTAAGGCAGTGGAGGAGTCAGGCACGGGTCGTGGTAATCCTGCCTGAATATCTCTTTCCAGGGGCAGGACTTCTTCTTGCGGGCCACGCGCACAGGACTGAGGGATCGCTATTTGATAAAGGCTGTCTGCTTTGTATAATCTCTATATGGAAGAGGACTTAGCATGCAGGCATCACGTGAGGGGTTCAGGATGAACCTGCAAACCTGAGGACAATGCCAAATGCGAATTAAGCAAATAAAGGACAAGAGAACATCCCGTCCCTTCAGAGTTTAGATGATGCTCATGATGCATTCGCTGGATACTGATAAACAGTATTGTGGGTGCGATGTTGTATTGTGCTTTCAGGGACTCGTTTCATAGCTGATATTTGTGATGCTGAGATAACAATAGGGGCTCTCTCAGATGCAGATGGCTTTTATGTTCACTGCTGGTGTTTTTTGAAGCACTTTTATGATATGGGAGTGTTTTCTCTGAAACTAGCTGTTTTTAAAAACTCTGCTTTATGATGGTTGCTGTTGTTGTTTTGGCATGCAGTATTCACCCCTCGGGCTTCCCGTTCTCTCTTTCCTATAGAAACTGATGTCCATGGCTGTGTGCTGCTTAACACGTCTCGAAGGGTGAGATTTTTTTTCATTGCATTCCACATGCCAACCTGATATTATAAAACGCATAGCATCCATCTGAATTATTGGCACACCTGTGTCTGCACAATAACTAAATAAATAAGTCTTCATGCATTGGGGCCCAATAATCTAAGGTTAATTTAGCATTTAAACATTAAAGTTTTAGAATTTTGGTTTTAGAAATATTTCACATAAGATGATTTTCAACAATGTTTGTGACTGGATAACATGATCATCAGTTTTTACTCAATATTAAAACATTCTTGAATTTACATTAGATTTACTACACTGTAGGGCTGTGCAACTAATCGAAAATCCGATTTTGATTTTGGCTTCTAACGATTATGAAAAACCATTAATCGAGAAAAACGATTATTACATCATATACCAAAAGCGCGAAAGACCGCGTGCTTATGTGTGTGTGCACCACGCTCACACACATAAGCACGTGGTCAGCATTCGGTCTCATTCACACACTGAGACGAGCAGAGGAGCGCAGACATCTTAACGTGAGCGCTTTAATGGTCAAATAGGTGTCAAAACATGATGATTAGTGATTATTCATATTAACCCTCATTTGTGTAATAAACAAACGAGTCGAGAATCAAAAGACACGTGAAAGAGAAACCATTAAAGTGACAGCGCGAAATGCTGCCGCCTGATTTTATCATTAATCAAACGACAAGAAAATGCCTCACTGCTCTTGACTGAAGGATATTTGTAGCTAAAGTGTTTTTCTTAGGGTGAAGATGCTTAAAGCACAGTTTGTTTAATATTTTTATTCTATTGTATTTATCTTTCCTTTGCAGGGTGGAAAATAACTGTATGTGTACAGTTGAAGTCAGAATTATTAGCCCTCCTGAATATTAGCAACCCTTTTCCTCCCCAATTTCTGCTTAATGGAAAAAAGTTTTTTTTTACTTATTTCTTAACATAATAGTTTTGATATCTCATGTCTAATTACTGATTTCTTTTATCTTTACTATGATGACAGTACATAATATTTTACTAGATGTTTTTCAAAATACAAGCATTCAAATTAAAGTGCAATTCAAAGGCTTAATTTGGGTAATTAGGCAACTCATTGTTTAACAGTAGTTTCTTCTGCAGACAATCAAAAAATATATTGCTTAAGGGGGCTAATACTATTGACCTTAAAATGGGTTTCAAAATATTTAAACCTGCTTTTATTCTAGCTAAAATAAAACAAATAATCCTTTCTCCAGAAGAAAAAAAAAATTAGAGGAAATACTGTTAAAATTCCTTGCTCTGTTTAACATAATTTGGGAAATAGTTATTTTTAAAAAAATTCTCAGGAGCGCTAATAATTTTGACTTCAGCTGATATTTGTGTTGAATAATCGTGATTAAAATTATAACTAAAATAATCGTGATTATGATTTTTCCCAAAATCGAGCAGCCCTACTACACTGTAAAAAACGGTTTCTCAAATATAATTATAACATTATTCACAAGGAAAGACTCTTGAAATTTTTTATTTTAGAAATAACACACTTAAGGTATTATTAGACTTATTGTGGCTGTTTATGTTATCATTCACTAGCAATTTTTAATAAAATAAAAAATACATTTGTCTATTTAAAATAAATGCCGTATCCCATTATGTCTTCAATATTACATAAATACTGTGTCTGATCCCTGTCAACAATTTTCAATGTCTTTCATTAATCAGTTTTCCCAAGGTCAGAAAGACGTTGAAATTTCAGACAATTTGTTTCCATTTTTTTTGGTAATATTATTCTGATATGTAAAATAATGTAAAGTATATCAATTAATACAACTTGAATTTAGTAAATTGTTCATTTGAGGGTTTTTTTCTTTTGAGTTATATACTGTATGTAAACCATAAATATTTTACAAAACAAAACAAAAAATGTATTGAAAAAATGGCACACCTGCTTCAGTAAGCGTGTAATAATCCAAACTGCCTCTTAATATTTAATATTATCCAATTAAATATTAATACACACTGATTCACATCATGATTAGATTAGGTTTGTCACGTCTTTTGATTTATTCATTCAAAACCAGCCAAATTTTGTCATTCCAAGTTATACAGTGAAATTGTTTGATGTAATTGTGCATCGCAAAACTCAAAAGGCCATAATATTATATTTGCAACTGTATATTATTAGATTCATTACTCTACATACTGTTATAATATGGCAGATATAGTATAATATATTCATTTATTCATTCATTCATTTTCTTTCGGCTTAGTCCCTTTATTAATCCGGGGTCGTCACAGAGGAATGAACCGCCAACTTATCCAGCATGTTTTTTTATGCAGCGGATGCCCTTCCAGCTGCAATCCATCTCTGGGAAACATCCACACACACTCATTCACACACACTCATACACTACGGACAATTTAGGCTACCCAATTCACCTGTACCGCATGTCTTTGGACTGTGGGGGTTTAGTGCCTATAATCTGATTTTAATTAATCAGGGATCGCCACCGTGGAATGAACTGCGAACTTATCCAGCATACGTTTTATGCAGCCGATGCTCTTCAAGCTGCAATTTAGCGACCTTCTTACTATGTGGCAGCAGCGTTACTCACCGCGTCGCCCCATAATATAATATAATATAATATAATATAATATAATATAATATAATATAATATAATATAATATAATATAATATAATATAATATAATACAGGTGACGTAGTGGCGCAGTAGGTAATGCTGTCACCTCACAGCAAGAAGGTCGCTGGTTCGAGTCTCGGCTGGGACAGTTTGGGTTTCTGTGTTAGGTTTCCTCCGGCTTCTACGGTTTCCCCCTCAGTCCAAAGACATGCGGTAGAGGTGAATTGGGTTGCCTAAATTGTCCATAGTTTATGTTTGTGGTTGATTCCGCTGTGGCGACCCCAGATTAATAAAGGGAGCAAGCTTAAAAGAAATTGAATGAACGAATGAATAATACAATGCAATATAATATAAACGTTAACTTTTTAACCTGTAATGCACAATAATAATTTTTGCAAAAATCGCTATAAAAAATAAACTTTGAATTGAATTGAATTTGATTTAATTGATTTAAATATATTTGTAAAAAAGGTCACACCTGACAATAAGGTTTTATTAATTAATGCAACTTAATATATTCACTAACGCAAACTTATATTGAACAATAAGTGTGCAGCATTTATTAATCAGTTCAGCATTTACAGATCCATTGTTAAAATTCAAATTCAATCATGTTAACATTAGATAATATCGCATAGTTAATGATAATATTGTGAACTTTATTTTCATTAACTGTTGTTAACAAATATTCTGTATAAATACTGGTATAAATGTATTGATCAATGTTTGTTTACGTAAGCAAATACATTGACTAACATTATCTTATACAACTTTATTGTAAAATTACCATAAAAATATACAAATATGTCATTCTCACAGTACGTCAAGCTGATGAACTTCGAAGAAGAAGTGCGTGCTCACAGAGATCTGGATGGCTTTCTGGAGCGGGCCAGTATCCTCTTGCATGAAGACGAGGCGTCTCTGGACGACGTGCTAAAGACAATGCTCCGCCACGTCTCGCAGGACCCTCACACCGCTGAGCCCGGCTGCAACTTTGAGGAGATCATGAGCTCCCTCTTCACAGACGCTGGTTCACAGGAAGTCAATGGTGAGTGTGTTTGTTTGCGCCGTTTCATGAAAAGCGTATGAAAGGTTGCTCAATACCGCCGAGGCCTGATTTGACTGACACCTCAAAGGATATAAGCACAGCAGTTTGACGTTAGCCAATGTTATTTTAATTTAAAATGCTTTATGAATTATAATACAGATTTTACATAAAAAAGGGGCCTGCGAAATAAGTAACAGAGAGAGTCGTGAAGAGGCAGAAAGAAAAAAAGGTTTCAACAATAATTAAGTCCATTTCCATCCCCGCTGACCCTAAAGCTTTGAAACTCACTCTTCTAGGATGAGGACTTCCTCTGAATAACCCTATAAAGGGAAGTCAGGTGATAATAACAGTCTTCTGTTCAGTCGTTCACACATTAGAGCCACTGCAATTGTCAAAAGGTTCCCAGAGGACACACAGGCCTCTATGAGAGCGGTTAAGAAAATAGAGATGAAGCATAAAAGTTATGCTGGGTGTTGAAAGAGCTTCAGTGCAAAAGAATCTAAAAGGATTAAATAAATGATGACATATAAATAAATATTAGATGTTTAATTTAAATGTTACATTGAGTAAATAAATGATTTGAAATGAGTAAACACTTGAGATGCCAGAGTGAGAAAGGAATCTAAATTAGAATTCTTGCAAATTGTTCAAGTTTTCAAGCGAATAGTTCAACACTTGGACAAGTTAATGCTTCACTGTAAATAAAGAAATTATTATAATACATTTCCATTAAACTTTACATTCAATTAAGATGTTTTATTCATCATAAAATGCAGTACATGATTATAAACATATAAAAATCCATATAGAAATTCCTTCATTTTAAAACCATACATTGGCTGGTATTCAATATGGCTGAAAATAAATTTAAATAAAAATATAAATAAAGTGTACCCTATTGTTTATTTTAATCCCACAGTAATTATTGTTACTGCTTGGATGCCCAGCAATAATTTGTCATTTCCGTGCCACAAGGCACATGTGAAGCATAGTGAAAGTTGGTTGTTTGGTGTATGATGCACAATGTCAGCTAATACTGTACTTTTAATATACTTTTGGGTGTAAAGACCCAAAATAATGACCAATAAATAAGTATAAAATGTTTAATCTAGATGTTAAATTGAGTAAATAAATTATTAGAAATGAGTAAATACTTTAGATGCCAGACTGAGCATCTAAATTAGAATTCTTGCAAATTGTTCAAGTTTTCAAGCGAATAGTTCAACACTTGGACAAGTTAATGCTTTACTGTAAATAAATAAATAGGTAATAATACATTTCTATAACTTTAAACATTCAGTGTATATTTTCTTCATCATAAAATGCAGTGCATAATTATAAACATATATAAAAATCCATATGGAAATTCCTTCATTTTAAAACCATACTTTGGCCAGTATTCAATCTGACAATTATCTGAAAATAATCATAATAATAAAATAAAACAGAAACTGAATGGAAAATCTGACCAAAAATTGTGGTATTTTAGTATTGTCCTTCCAGTTTGACAATATCCAGCATGACTGATATTTTGAGCTGATTTTTGAACAAACATTGTTTGTAATTGCAATTGGATATTCTGTAATGTGACCAAACAATTATGTGATGTAAATGTCAAATCTTTATTCTTAAAGGTTTAAAGGCAGATTTTTGCTCCTGAGAGCAAATTGAAAAACAGCTATTGTTAATATTTTTGAAAGCACTTTGTTTTGATGGTCCTTTTTAACCATTTTGTTGACTATGTTGCATTGCGACTAAATGTCATGTAGGTGGCACGGTGGCTCAGTACTAGCACTGTTGCCTCACAGCAAGATACTGTTCGCTGGTCAAGTCCCGGCTGGGCCATGCTGGCATTTCTGTGTGTAGTTTGCATGTTCTCCTCATGTTCACGTGGGTTTCTTCCGGGTGCTCCGGTTTCCCCCACAATCCTAAAGACGTGGTGTAAGTGAATTGGATAAACACAATTTTCTGTAGTGTATGAGTGTGTGTGTGTGTGTGTGTGTGTGTGTGTGTGTGTGTGTGTGTGTGTGTGTGTGTGTGTGTGTGTGTGTGCGTGCGTGTATGTGTTAGTGTGTGTGTGTGTGTGTGTGTGTGTGTGTGTAAATGTGAACGTTAGAGTGTATGGATTTATGAGTGTATTTCTCAGTAATGGGTTGCACCTGGAAGGGCATCCGCTGTGTAAAACATATGCTGGAATAGTTGGTGGTTCTTTCGCTGTGGCAACCCCTGAAAAATAAGAAACTAAGCCGAAGGAGAATAAATGACATCTAATTCTCATTAGAGTTCTAGTAGACTGTCTGGTGACACTGCTCCACCAACAGACATTCTCCTGAATATAAGAAAGTTTGCAAGTTAATGTCAACTTACACTAACGGTAACCCTTAGCCCAACCTTACAGTCTACTTGCACTTTAATGAGAATTAGTTGGCATGTAGTTGCAGTGTAACTTAAAATCAACAAACTGTGTAAAAGGGATCATCAAAATACCCTATTTTCTATTTTTCCCGCAAAAATTATTTTTACAGCATACCCATATATATTTTTTCATTTCCTTGCCACAAGGCACATGTGAAACATGTTGATAGTGTGTTGTTTAATTCACCATGCCCAAAGTCAGCTAATACTATTAAAATCTGTTCTTTTCTAAAACTTGTTTAGTTTGGTCAAGCCAATTTCGATTCATTAAAACTGATGAAATTGTTATGATGCAAGGGAAGGTGTTGAATGTGAGGGTGGTCTCACAAATATTGCACATATTGGTTCCTGTAGGTTAGATCTTACTCTGCTGGGTCGTTTTATTCACTGGCCTCTGGCAATCCAGCATTTTCTAAAAATGTTCCCCAAGTTTCCCTGCTTTGTGAGCTCAGCCTCTCTCTGTAACTCCTCACTGTAAACGATTTCTTGTTAAATTAACAGTAAGTTACTGGCAACAATTATCCAGTAGCTGCTGTATTTCATAAAACAGTAACATTACTGTAATACTAATTACTTTAGTATTAGATTTACTGTAAAATGTAATACATCATTTTACTGTTTTCTTTTTATACTGTAACACCAATTACAGTAGTAATACACATACTGCAAAACTGAAAACAGTATTTTACTGTACATTTTTACCATGCAGAACTACGGTATTTTAACGTTACTTTCATTATTACTGTATAGTATTTTACAGTTATTAAATGTTATTTTATTGTATTTAACAGTGCTACTTTATAATGAGCAAAAAAGTTCAAAAATTGCACAAATGTTATTTTAACTGTTCAAGAAATACAAGAAAAATAAAGAAACTGAAACTTTAACTTCACAATAAAAGTTTATTGTGTAAACCCTACTGAAACAGTAGCAATTATTCAATATAACACAGCAACAGAACACTAATGAAAAATTGATCAGTAAAACCAGTCAACAATTAATGCATCAAAAAGTATTACAATTTTAAAAACAGATGAAAATACTGCTACAAGACACGAAATGATGAAGGCCAAATGATGTTGTGGAAAACGGACAGTGAAAAAGGGCAGGAGCACTTCTGGTGATCCTGCAAAAACGACAAGCAAAATTAATCACTGGAGTAAAAACTAATCATGCCTCAAATTATTTCATTCATTCAGAAACCAAACACCGCACTGCTGTTTTATATTTATAAAACACTGTTTTTTATCGTTTTTGTTGACAAAATACAGATTGTTGTCTATTTACAATTACACTAACGTTAATGGGGAAAAGATCAGTCAAGTCAACACTAGTCAAGTGTCCACACAGGTATGTAAAAAATAAAGTCTCATCTTAACTTAATGTCTGACTCTGTATAGCTTGAATATCTGATTACATGACCACACTAGCGCTTCCATGAATTTAAGAGGGGTGAACACAGTTAATTCTGACCTTAAGAGGCTACATATTAAAAATAAATAAATAAATAAAATAATCTAATTTAACGTGACTAATGTTAATCAAGTACTTTTAGGCTTTTAACATGTGAAAATCTACTTCTAACTTACAGACAAGATTACATTAGAGAACATGAAAGCCGTGGGTGATTTAAAAAAAAAATAATACTAATGATAAGTTACTGACATTTGGTTCGCATTAAACAAAGTAATCACTAAGCATTCATTTTTGGCAAAATCTGCCGAAAGGCACAGCAACACGATCAAATGTGTTAAAGTTGAGCAAAGAAATGAAGAGTAGTCAAGCAGTCTACTTCATGAAATGTTTGTGATAGTATTTTGCGGTCAATTAGTATTACTGTATTTCAATATGCAGTGATGGCATGTCAGTGAGAAAAATAAATATTATTACACCTCTCCAGTGACATTTCCTCAAATTAAATCATCATAACGTTACTGTGCACAGCATCAGTAAAACGTTAAGAATAATTTAAATACCAAATTTTTAAACAGTCACTGCTAATTACAAACTAAAATTAAAGATAGGCTTACAGAAATCCTGAATGCATGATAATATGAAGATTTATTACTCACTGATGTCGAAGCACTGCCAGGTTGTCAGAGATGTAGACAGGACAGAATATGTGCCATCAAATGAGCTCTTGTGCAGTCTTTGTTGGACATCAAGGTAGTATGTTCACCCACACTGTAAAAAAATTAAAAATCTGTTATTTTACATGTTTTTTTTCCCAGAAGCTAGGGTAATAGAGTCATTTAGTTAAGTGGTTTAAAATAATTTTATTTATTAAATACTTGCTTACCCATATATAGATGTAAAAGTAACCAAAATAAATAATTCATTAAAATGTGTGGGATACTAAGCATGTTTGGTCTACAGAGAGAAGTAAACATTTACTTTAAGCATTGATCCTAATGAATTTATTTCTGAACTACATCCAACCTCACCTCTGAAACAGCATTTTTGAGCATTTAGATCAGGGGTGCTCAACCCTGTTCCTGGAGATCTACCTTTCCGCAGAGCTTACCTGCAACCTTGATCAAGAACACCTGTCTTTATTTACCAAGTGCTCCTTCAGATACTATTTA